TGCGCTTTGACGCATATAGATGGATGATCTTCATGTCGATAAGTACCTGACTTGTCGCGGTTGTTTCTGAGAACTTGATTTAGATTTGATGGAAGAAGAGATTCAAACAGAATCTGTAATGATCATTTTAACCTTTTGATCAAATTCACATCTCTTATACAAATATAAACAATCCCAAATCCTAAACATATAGCCATTTTTTATTGTTTCGAACGCAATTTTCGCATTTATGGTCTAAACCATATGAATATCTTTAGAAAGAAAGGAAAAAGGCTTGCTTACTATTCTTTTTAATGTTATTTTTTTACAAGCACTTTTCTCCTTAATATTTACAAAGCAAAAAAGAAATGAAGATGAATTTACAATAAAAAAAAAATCTTGAAATATCTTCATCTTTTATCCTTCAAATTCCCCAAAATCTTCAATAGCATTGACTTTAGAGGATTTGAGATTCCATGAAGCTGTGCTTACCTTCAATGGAATCATCATAGGACTACTATAGTCTCCGAAACAAAACCCACTTTCTTCATCTTCCTTGGTACGTAAGTCACCTGGAGGCAAGAAGAAATCAGAAGACAAACCCTTCACATTAAAACCTACTTCTTCAATCTCCCAACTCTCTTCCATTGCTGTCTTTGAATGGCTTTCCAAGCTCTCATCAAGCCTCAACAACGAGACACGTGTCTTTCCTCTGTGAGCGATCTGAATCCCATCGACGATCTTATATTCTTGGATCATTGTCTCGGAAGTCGTCTCCCACAAGACCACATCTTCTTCTTCAGGACCGGTCTTGATCCGTACGAGATAAGTGTCTTCTAATTGAACTAAAAGTCCTGTTCTTTGGCTAAAACATCCCCACACGGTATGCTTTACCGTCTCTATACCGGTCTTGCTTCTCGATTTGAGCCCTGAAGGCTGCGTTTCGAGCTTAAGCACGAAGCATTCTTCCTCGTTAACCGCCTTTTCGCCCACGCAAACTGATCTAGCGAACAAATTAGCTGTGGTTTTAGGATCAAGCCCTTGAAGGAACCTTCTAAGTGGTCCAGAAGGTTCATTAGAAGCATGAGAATGTGCGAGCCAAGGGCTTTGTTTCCAAGCCACGTTACCATCACAACCAGCACTTACTTTACAACCCGAAACCACAAGCTCTAAACTCCATTGACTCAAACCTTTCTTCCATAACACGAAACCTCCAATCTCTCCTCCATTTCCGTTGTTAACGTTTCTTATCCTCACCATCTTCTTCTTCCTCTTCCCGATTAGGATTTTCGCTGCACAGAACTCTGTCACTCCCATTTTAACCTTTCCAATCGCGTACATGCTCTCTACTCCGGCCAATGCCGTCTCTCCTCCAGCTGCTGCAGTGTATTGCTTCACTATATACTTCGCCATGGCTGATTCCTGTTGATTATACACACAGAAACAGAGCAAAAGTTATATCAGAAACTTGTCTCTCAAGTAAACTTGCTTTTGTTTCAAACAAACAAGTCTAGTTGAAGAATTTTTATAATTACTTACAATAGATTGGTTTTTGACGAGTTTGGAGATGGGATGATCAAGAACGTCGAGGTCGGAGGAAACATGGAGAGGGATGGACGGAGCTCCGACGATTCCAAGAAGCATCTGAATCTGAGAGTCACGGCCACCGAAAAGAGTAGCGAGGCTGCTACTATTATCCGGCGGTGACCGGAGAAAACTAGACTTAACACTTCTCCAAGCGCCGGTCTTGTTGTTGTCGGAACAAAACAACTCCTCCGGCATTGGAACTTCCAACACCGTCTCTAAACCATCTTCTCTATCGAAATTCGGACAAAGAGTTCTCATTTTTTTCACTCTTTCTTACAAATCTTGAAATACTCAAAGAGAAAAGTGATTGTTAGGAGAAAAAAAGATAATGGAAACTTTTCCTCTCTTTGGTTACAATAATTTGAGGAGATGAAAGGGTTCGATATATATATTATGAGAGATTGAATGACATAAGCTTATGGGTTTAGAGATTATATATATGAAAATATATATTAGAGAAATAAAGAGAGAAAGAGTAAACGAGATGACCAACCGACCGAAACCGATCTGATACTATTTGTGTATTGTCGTGTTCGCACGCTTCATGTTACTCTCTATCAAATAACAAATTTTAAAATATCTTGTTTGGGTTGAGATTTAAGGACTAGAGAAATACAATTATTTTTTGTCGACAGTGAAAAAATACACTAGAGCTTTTGTCCTTTGTGATTAACAAAAAATAATTGAATAAAAAATAAGTAAAAAACTACTCCTATCAGGCTTTTAATTGGTAAAAGAGAAGTTTGTCCCTTGATGGTGTTTAATGTATGTATTGTCAATTTGTTTTATAAATAGTCGTGTTTAATATACGGCGCAGATCTGAACGGAGATTGAAGGGATAAAAAATGGCTTATTATATGCCTTAATTCAACGGTTGTTGTTTTACTTCTAATTGATAATAATTAATTCGGCTTATTAAATTAACGCTTGAATATAACTCTTTTTTCCTCGATCTCATGTAGTTTCGGATTTTGTAACAATTCTTTAAATAATTGCTTCTTATTGCTAGAAGATTAGTAATACATCACAATTAGTCTCAATTGCCAATTGGTACTGTTTTATGTGTAGATCACAGCTAAACTAACTTTTACTACCAACATAAGGTAGTCTAATGATTGACTAGTCCTAATTTTTCTAAATTTCCCATGCTTTTTCTTTTTCTTTTTGATCTTTGTTAATTATCTCGCCGAAAAACTAAATTTATGTAGTATCTTTTAGTCACAAAAAGTCAATGTGAAATCTTTACTCTTTCTTTTAGTTGCTTTAGCTTAAACCGGCTCATAATATATTTCTTTGTTAAAAAGGAACTAACTACTAAACTTTACTTTCATTATTCTTTTAATTTTTGAAGAATGGAAACCAAGAAAGGTTGTTTTCGCAAAGATCGTGCGTCTCCTTTTATCCGTTCCTCTTTTGATTTCTAAGTGCAATGTTTTCTCATTTAGTGTTGCATAAGGTTCAATGAATATCGGTTTCGTTCATATTAATTAGTATTCCCAATGAATTAAGCAAAAAAAAAATCTACAAAGATAATAAAGTTCATATTAATCACTCTCGCTCTAAAGACATACGACGAGAAGAAAGAGTAAACAAGTTTAGAAATTTTCTTTATGTTAAAAACTTAAAATCTTGCTTAAAGTTACCCTAATTAATAAAAAAAAATACGATAACGTGATACGAAGTATCTTATAACTTTGCAAATTGTATTCCCTAAGAGATGTGATTATCTTAAAGTGATACACGAAGGACGTGACTTCTAAGTCGTAAGAGGGGAGGTTTATCAATAAACATATTCATATAATATAACTTACTACTTACATATTATATAATTTGGTATAATTAAGTATTTATAGAGAAACGATGAGAAATGGATAATGAAGAGACGACACTTTGATTGGGAAATGAATTGTCGGCCGAACGTGGCTGACGGCGTTTCATCAGACCGACTATTAATATTTCCTTTAATTTTGATTTGCTTGCCGTTACGGTTACATTAACAAATCAAATCTTTTTTTAATTTACAAATTACAACTAATATAGAAATGTGTGTCTATTAGTTGCCTTCATCATTCATCAATTGAGTTATATGATCTTAACTATATTTGTGATTTTTCCACAAGAGCAATGTATCGTATAATATAGTTTGCATTATTAGTGAGTAATCATGACATGCACGCTGTTGAGAATCTCTTTCGCCGATATGCAATTTGTCTGCATAACGCATTATTAGTAGAGAATAAAAATCAGTCTTGATATCAGAACAATTAAAAACAATTATGGAAACTCCGAAAACAAAATCTAAACATGATATCATAAAAGATTCTACAGGCTGTTACAATAGTTCAGTGTCTAAAACATTTATGTGACACGTACTTAGTCATTGTTCGGGAAAAAATATTGGCCGGACAAAGACTCTATATGAAAGTGGTATCTGTTGCAACCAAGTGAAATTAGGTCTTGTGATAGGAAAATATATCAGCTTATAAAAAATGACAGATTAATGGAAATGTTTCCTTTTGATTTTATAATTTGATAATTTTGGTTACATATAGCATAATCTTTTGTTAATATAGAGCTTATGGATTATTAAGTTGAATATGTAAATTTTGAAGTTCCTTAAAGAAAAAAAATTGATTAACCTAATGTTTTGTGGGAAGTGGTTTCGTTTTGTTGTAGAGGTTCATTATATTGGTTTAAGTCATAGAACGATTTTCCTTAAACGTGAAATTATATAACGTATTACGTCTGGTTATTTAGACGTTTTAAGTAACAATAAATTTGGATTTTATATCTAGGATTTATCCGGTTATTAAAAAATTTGTTTATAAGGAAAAAAGAAAAGAAAGAGCTCCGACCATTGTGTCGCTGATTGCGGATGGTTAATGGAGCTAACACGAGCGTAGGAACTGACGTGTTCCCAAGGACTATGATCGCCCATAACAACGGTTTGCCTTCTTCCGCACGTGGTTTTTGTCTTTCTCTCACGTGTTTTGTCCGGCGCCGAATCGGCCTTCATATAAATCTCCAATATTTTTGTTTAGTTAAGCTAATATAAAAGAAAATTATCAAGACACTAAAAAAAAATTCAAATTAGTACTGAGAAACTACGTGACAAACTCTAATACTTTCTAAATATGGAGTAGAAAACTCTTAACTTTCTACTAACTAATTTTCTCGCAACAATTTCTTAAATTTCTTTGACCAAATTACCTAGGGACTCAATTAGGTGTGACATCTTGTAGAACTATCCAATTTATTTAAATTATCAGTTCAGTTTTAAATTACTTTATTTATTTCGGTTAAAATAGACAACATTTATATTTTAGCAGGGTTAATTCTATATAAAAAAAAAGACAGTCACTATAATTATATAGTTAGTATCATTCATAAGAATCATAATCACATCGATATCTACCACCTTAACTTTTAATTACGATTATAATTTAGAAAAGAACCTGTAAAAATATATGTTATAAATCATATATATGTTTATTAATTTTTTTGTAAAATATCTTTTATGGTGTTTGCTAGAACCTTGTGTGATTAAACCCATGAATCGACTGAAACTGAACTCTGATACCATGTAAGTAGAATAAAAAAAAGATAGATTTATGCTTTTGTAGAACTTATTGAGATAGAGATTTAAGATAGAAATATAAGTAGCTCATAAGAGTTTTATTATGAAAAAAAAAGAAATGAAAAAGAGAAAACTTTAACATGGACTTGTATTGGGCTTGTAGTATATCAACTTTGGGCTTTAACAATTTACACATGGGCAAGGTTTATTTTTTTCTTTCTCAATCAAGAACCAAGTAAACGGTTGCTGAAAACCGTAAAGTGACTTACATACCGAAAATCTTCTAACTTGCACTGGCAGAAGCATATGGATCAAAAGTCAAGACATGACTCAAAAGTTTGTCTAAATACTTGGATGAAGACCCATCTTGACTTAAGCAAACATTAACTCTCTCTTTCAACTTCAAACACCTCTCTCTAATCCCATCGTCTTTCTTTATCATTGCACTTCTTACGACCTTTTCAATCCCTCTCTTATCCATTTTACTTCTCTCTAACTCCATCCCGACTCGCCACACATCAACAATGTACCTCGCGTTCACACGTTGGTCCGTGAAACATGGCGTACATATCATTGGAACACCTTCACATATGCTCTCTAGTGTCGAGTTCCATCCACAATGCGTCCAAAACGCTCCAATCGCGGGATGCCCTAATACCTCTAATTGATTCACCCATTTCACAATTTTTCCCTTATGACCAATGTTTTCAACAAACCCACAAGACAATGACTCGATCCACTCGGTCCCTCGGACAAACCCTGGCCTAACCACCCACAAGAACGGTTGTTCACTATTTCGTAGACCCCAAGCAATCTCGAGAAATTCCTTCTCCTCTATAGCTGCAAGGCTCCCAAAGCTTACATAGACCACAGACTGCGGGTCTTGCTTGTCGAGCCAATCGGTTGTTACATGGTCTTCTTCGTTCTTTGTCATCGATAGAAGATTGTCGCTATGTTTGTGAAACGGTCCAATCGGAAAGATGGGAACTTGAAACCTGCTGCTAAAATCCATGAGTGAAAGTCTTTCAAGATCTTCGAACGTGTTCCATATGACTCCTGAAGAAGAGTTGGCTCCTTTCACCATGTTGTTAACTATCCGGTATAGTTCCTCCGGCTCATTCGTTTCCATTACCGGAAGATCTTTTACTTTCAAAGGTGGAAGCTCTATCACCGGCTCATCTAATCTAGAATCTTTAGCAAAAGAAATGTATAAC